CAGAGAACCCCAAGGACTCCACAGTTCAACCCTGAGCTACACATATTCACCTCCATTGGAAATTAATACTGTAGTAAAATGTCATTAGAATTCATTTGAGATTGTTCAGTGTGATCCATTGAATAGATCAATAGGCCAAGGAATAAGGGCCAAATTAGAGATAACAGAAGAGGGATGGAGGAAAGAGATGCCTCCTAGTATTTTGTAAGGAGCAAAAGAGAGGTCTGGATTTGACTGGGGGGACATGAACACTCTTAATGATAAGCTTAAAAAGCATTTGAACTTCTTTAAAAGAGCAAAAAAGAAAGAAAAAGGACAATCCTCAGTCATGAGCTCCATTGTTTCAAAAACAAGAATTAACTTCTTGCCTGAGGATCAAACTAAGGGCCAGGGTTTCCTTCCAGGGTCACAGAGAGAGAACAAAATATTGACTGAAACACTTTCTTCATTCTTCCCCAGATTCCCTTTTCCAGATAGACTGAAACTAGCACTTTCCAAATTCTCAGTCATTTGCTGAGTTGATGGTCATCAATTCATTTGCTGAGTTGATGGTCTCCACCCATCCTTGAGTCAACAGGAAATTATAACAGCACATCATCTGCTGTCTCCCTTGCCAGCCTTTGCCAATAATGGGTGATAAAGCCTAAAAGATTATAGACACTTGAAGACAGAACTTGGTGTCAGAATTAAAAGGAAAATGTTACTGGTGCAGCTAAGGATGACTTGTCAGTCTCACCCATGGGCTGTGTGGAAAAGGAAAGTAACATCATGATGTTAAGATAGAAAAAAAAGTGTTGTCCTGGCATTTTTATACCATGAGTATGTACAATTGTAGAAAGGCTCCTTGGTTGTATCCTTGTCTGACAGTTTTTACCCCCACTCAACCGAAATAGAACAAATGACTCAGGGTTGGCAAACAATCTGGGCAATTTTGAAAAAAAACAAAACTTGCTTGATATCCTTCAGCTTCTCTGCCTTCCATTAAAGATAAATAAGTTGTCCCATGAATCCAGATGGTATCAGGGATTTCTCAGGGATCTAGCAAACCAAAATGCTCTCTGTTTCAACAAGCAGTGAGCAGGAATTGTTACTAGCAGTGACAATAAGAGAGGTCTAGTTAGCAGTGCCTGGTAATTCAGTAAAAGAAGCATGTTCTGCTTTTAAGGGCACTTCCACACAAGGACTGTGCCAGTTCAAAGGCAGTTTTATTTTATTTGGGATCATCAGTGCTAAACTGAAGCACCAGTGCCTTCAATCAATCAATCAATCAATCAATCAAACAAACAAAACTCTGCAAGTCTGTGAAGCTTGTGCACAGTCTGTTTCCCCCTCTGCAGGTGCTCCCGCCTCTCCCTATCTAGCGAGCTTTAGGTCTTCCAAGGAGAAAGGGGCTTTCCCTTTTAATTTCCCCCATAGGAACTGCTGAGTTGGATTGAATTCAGTTTATTGTACGCTATTGTACTGTACTTTCTTATTTACCTGATCACTTTTTGATGTTCTGTGAACATGGAAAACAATACAGTATAGCCTGCATCAGTAACACCTGAACCAAACTCATGCTTTATGAATATGGTGAACAAAACATTAAGTTTACTGGAAGACAGAACCTGAATCAAACAAACCTTGAATCAGGCTCATTCCAGACTGGAAGTGATTATCTGGCATGATCTCTTCAAGCAAAGATTGCTTTAAATGGGCATGAAGGTTTGCTTTGCAGAGCCACCGTTTTAACCTACATAGTTTTGCTTTATGTATGTCCCTACGTTCTATCTATATGGTTATTAAGAGTTGACAATGACTTGATGGCACATAACCAATTAGTTTTGCTTTAAATAATCCATATTGGGTTTCTCTGTGTATTCAAGGAAAAGATGTCAAATTGCAAGTTAAATTTTGGGTAGGGCTTGAAATGCTGTACAATATTAGAAGCAACTCTGAAGTCGGAAAAAGCAAAGACCACACACCTAAATTTCTCTTAATTAAAACCATGACATTTATCTTTATTTATAGCAATCCCATCCCACCCTGGAGAAATAAGTCACTTTTATAACTTATTGGAGCCTACAAAACTAACAGAGAAAAATAACATTAAGAGAAAGTTACGATAAATTTAAATAATAAATAAATTTATGAGACATTAGATAAAATTATGAGAAATTTAAGAGACATGTGCGAAAATGTAGTATTCTGATACAGAGAAACAAGTTTATTTTACTGGAACATAGAGACACAAATGTAATTTGATGTAACTCTCTTAACTTTAAAAGTTAATGTTGACTTTGATTAGCTCTGTGGGGTATAAGTAAGAGTATATATTCACAGATCATAGTCCTATACAGTACTTCACTATATTTGATATATAGAATTATACTTGTTTATAATTTTTATTTTAATATAAAGGACTTCTGAGATACCAGGTAAAAGTAGAGTCTTACTTTTTTACAGTAAGGGCTTTTTAGGGCCAAGAGCATTTGGAGTTGGCATATTTAAGGTTAGGAGAGTTTAGATACAAAAAGCCCAATTGGAATCATATCAACAAATAATTTAATGGTGTTTTGCTCTGAGAATTAATCAATATAGTGTCAATTTTAATTGGTAAGCCCTAGGACATCACCAACAGACAATGACCATTCACTTATTGCTTGGAAGGCTTAAATCTAGGAAGCCCCCACTGGTACTTGCACAACATCTGTATAACAACTTCAATATCGACTCCCAGTGGAAAGTTAAATGGGTTGATGTACGCCCAGATACAGGAAGACGTATAGATGATCCTATGCAAAAGGTGCCAGGTTTTGACCTATCTCGTCAGCAATGGACAACCTTGAATAGGATTCACACCTTACATGGCATCTGCCAGGATTCACTGCATAAATGGGATATCACATTGTCACCTCGGTGTGACTGCGGGGCTGCACGTCAAACTATAGATCACATTGTGACCAGCTATAAGCTGAAGGCATATAAGGCCCAGTATCTGATTTTTTTATATATATAAATGATGCTGCGCTTCAGTGGCTAGATGGCCTAGACGTTGGTATTTGAATTTAGATCTTTTTAATATTGTATTTTAAACCGCTTTTAAGTTAGACTAAATGTTAGTATTTAATGCAAGTCCATGTATGAGATGCCATAGCTAAATAAATAAATAACCATTCAAAAACAGCAGCAGCCTAATGAAATTTGGGCATTCAAAACACAGGGAATTTGAAGCTTCACTTGCAGCGGGGGGTACCATATTTTCACTACATCCTTGAGTATTTAGAATGCTTGTACTAAGTATCCTTATACGGTACTTTTCTTCCTGATTTGGATTAATATGCTTTTTTGGTATAATTTATGAATTATGCCCTGATTATTTTCTGATTTACTATTTATTAAGTCTGAATCATTTCAGTCAATTATATTTATGGATTGACTGTGGTTAACCCCAAGTGCCATCTGCCCTGTCTGTGTGCTTGAGCAGGGAGAGGTTGGTGGCCAATCGCAATTGTCTGCTGGGCTGCAAGTATTGGGCTGCGGTCCTTTTATTCTGCTGATTTTGAGTTGCAAATATTTTATTTTTGCCCTGCAAACTATCTGGAATCTTGGGGTCTGGGCCGTATATAAATCCTTGTAAGTAAATAACTAAGAAAAATATTTGTTAAAAACATATCCTGTCTTTAACTCAGGTGCTTAAGGTGGTGTACACAGTGTTCCATTCTCCCTTTTTTTCCAACACCCTTGGGAGCAGAATCATCCTAAAGATACAGTGCTTTTGTCAAAATGATGAAAGTAGTGTCACAATCCTAGCAATACCCCTTTTGTACCTACTGTACATTCGACATCATGACACATTTGGAAAAGGGGCAGTTTACACTGCAGTAGAGTCACACTACTCATGCCATTTACCCTCCCTTGACCCCCCCTCCCCTCCTTATGACATAGGCTGAGCTGAGAGAGCTGGATTTCCCCGACATTATCTGGCAAGCTTCTGTGCCTAAGGGTGGACTTGAAGCAACCTGTGTCTCCCTAGTCCTCGGCAACGCAGGGGTGGACAATAATCGTTTTGCTCCTCATTCTCAGCAGTGCAAGGACGGTAGGCTTCAAAACAATCATAGAAATCTTCAAACTGGCATGAGGGAGTGGAAAAGATGGCTCTTTGGTTGCCATTTACAGATATACAAGCACACCTGCAAGGTACCATGACGATCAGCAAGAAAGGTTTTGAATTCCAAGTGACAGAGTGAGTTTTTACTAACAGGGCACAATCCACCAAAGTATTCCCCTGCATTATTGTATCCCCTTTTAAACAAATGGGAACGATACCTTTCTTTCCATAAGGCTTACATACAGTAGTGCAGTCTACTTTCATGTTCAATAGCTGCTGAGAAATAATGCTGTTTGGATATTCTTACTTTCTCCATTTGCACCTGACTGGCCCATGAACATGCCCTGGTGATCTCCTTTTCCTGCTGTGTCCTCCTGAGGTTGCCTTCAGCTCATTCCCTACCCAAACCGGAGCCAGCCTTAAGGTGTCCTCAGCTGTTGCTACTCTTGGGCATTGTCCTCCAGGGTCATTCTGCTTTGGGCAGTAGGAGAGTCCAGTTCTTTCAGATCAGGCTTTCTCTTTTATCTGCCAGACTTGTGAGCTGATCCTGGCTCGGAGACATATATTAGCCTAAATAGCAGGTGACCAATGATGGCAGCAGCAATGCACTAATTACAGATTGAGAGCTGGCTCTCTCGCTGCTGCTTTAAGCACTACAAGATAGTTACGTGATCACCTGGAAGGTAGATTTTTCTCGGCATACACAACCCATTCCCTTGATCCTCTAAACTGTGACTTGGATTACTTTACATGGGTTTAAGCCTCTTTTAGAAGAGTGCTAAACCCATGCTTTAAAGCAGCCTGATTTAAGAGATAATAGATGCATGGGAGGGTTGCAAGGTGCTCCAGGAATCCTATGGCGCCACACAGGCTCTCCCATGTGCCTGTCAGCTGTTAGAAGGGGGGTGTAAACAGTGTGGCAGGAGGAAGACTGCCACTATACCATGTTGCCCCCGTGTTCCTGTCAGTAATTAGTAGCCAACAGCTGACAGTTGCATGGGGGGTACATGTCCTTCCCAGTGCATTCCAAAACCATCCCATGTGCTTTTCCTGCCACACTGCCACCCTAACCCTTTACACCTCTCATCTGCTAGCAGCTAACATCTGGCAGATGTGAGGACCCATGTCTGTCCCACTGTTAGAAGAGTGATTTGTGGATGTTTTCTTGCTGGATGGTGATGTTTGATGAGGGAGGCAGGGAGAAAGCCAGGGGAATCCACCAGAATTAATGCACCCTGCCCACAGTACACCACCATTTGACAGCATTCTTCCTGTGGCAAGGCAGGGATCCGCAGTGAGAACAGCAAAATTTATGTTGGTACTGTTTCCCCACATCCCTCATATTTTTCTATGCTAGTTAAGGCTCCTGTGAGTTCTAGCTTAGCCGTATCAGAAATTTCCCTCTTCCAGAGAAAGTGTGAGAAAATGTTAAACATGCTATTGTTAAAAAATTACATTATATCAGGTAAACCAAAGGGTTTTTTTTCTTTTTGCCATATACTGCAGTACGTTGTCATCACAAGGTTACGAACTGCTAAGGTTACTAACTGCATGCAACATCATTGGACGAAATTCATTATATATAACATTCCCACAAACTCAGATACTCCACTTGACATGCTCTGTTCCATTTTGCTCCTTCATTAATCAGCTTCTAGATCCCGCCAGCCACACTAAATGTAAATTCAGGTGTTTTTTGCAAAATCGAGTACTTACTAGTAGGCACCCAGAAGAGAAGGACAGGCATGATCAGAAGCAGGACAGTTGTCATTTTAACCAGCTTGAGGGACCAAAACTTGAAGCACAAAAGACGGGTCACTTAGTCAGATGGAGGACTTTCAAGCGTGATATATGGAATGAGAACAGTACAGTACTAAAAAAACAGTATGTCACTTCAGGAAATAAGCATTTCCTTTACTCCACCCACTCACATGCTTATTTTCCTGAAATGAAAAAATCTGCAGAAGAAAAAAGGAACATACAATTCCTAAATAACAGAAAACGAAGGGGCCCAGACTTAAATATTACTACCACACGCCACTCAGCATTAAAATTTGCATCAAAGAGAATTCTGTTAGGTGTTAGAGAAAGTCACACCTGAGGAAGTTGTTTAAACGACTACCTTAAGCAATATTAAGTAATTTATTTCCTTCAGCCAGTGGCTTCCTAAATCCTTTAAGGCAATAAATCGATTTTATTCAGTTTACAGGAGAAGATTTTAGGCCTTTGAATCATTGCACATCAAGTAGAACTTTGCTAATGTCTAACTCAGTTGTAAGAAATGTTACAATGGATGGAATTCTCTCTTTCAGGAAACTTAATGCTGAGCAATGGGAGTGTAACATTTAAATCTGTAAGAGATACTGTATAAAATGTTCAGTCTGGAATGTGATAGCTATATAGTAAAGGAGAGAGCAATATTACAGTTTTTTTTTTAAAGGTGGAAAACAGGCATGTATTAATTCTTTAAGTAGGTGATGTGAACGTAGCTGATCAGGGTTCTTCATTAAAGACACTAGTTTTGTAGCAAATTAAAAGCAGCCTTTGGAAAATACATAAAGGTGAAGTGCCTATTTCTACAATAACACAAATAGCCTTTATTTTATATTTCAAAAGCTTGTTTGTTGTCTAGATGTGCTTTAAACATAATGGGTACAAGATTGTTGGTTCTATTTTCTTAAAAGCTTGCAGTTTCACAACGGTTACCCAACATCATTTCTAGCTGACTCTTTTTTTATTATTATTATTATTTTTTATTTTAATATCTTTATTGTAAAATGCTATATACAGACTACATTAAATACAACAAATAAAATAAAGCATTAAACATAAATCTAACAAAAACACATATAAAAAAGAAAGAAGGAAAAAAAAGGAAAAAAAAGAAAGAAAGGAGAGGAAGAAGAAAAAAAGCAAAGAAGAAAGAAAGAGAAGAAAAAAAAATCATTTAAAATGTGGTTTCCAGCTGTCAAACATTGTAAGATATACTAGTAATTGTGTTACTTTTAAACTCTTATCTTTGTTTTACCTATTTTACTATTATTTCTATTAAAACAGTTCTTTAATATACAAAACCAGTAATCAATACATTATTTTTCTCAACTAACATCAGATAATCAAGAAATGGTTGCCATATCTTCTTAAAGTCCACCATATTTTTATCTTTCATTTCTAGCTGACTCTTGATGAAATGATTTCTAATAGAAAGTTATACTTTATAGCTGGGTTGGTATGTTTCATTAACAAAGCCATGTTTTATTACATAAATCACAATTTGCTGAGTTCATAATGCAGTAAAGCCATAAACAAGGGTCTCTAGACTTGGGGGGGTGGACATATTTGAGAAGGTAGTAGGGGTGCTTTTGCAAGAAGCAGCTGGGGGACTGCTCTTTTCAACCAATGACCACCATGGGACATCTAATCAGATACAAAGTACCAATTTACCAGGCTGGTCCCTGGCATCCTGTCTCCTGCGGGACCATGCCTGCTACTTATATTTGTCCTTTGCTGGACAGACAGGCAACTTCCAGACCAAGCCCTAGCCTTCAGCCACTTCATTTTCACTTCTGAGAAAGGATGTGTGACTCAGACATCCCGGGAAATCAAGATTATGCTGGAGGCTGCATTTTCTTTTAGAGCATTCCAGTTCTCCATCCTAAAATTCAGATGTTCCTTTAACATAAAGACTAAAGTCAGGCAAGGAACCTGATCGCACCAAGGGATGCAGCACCAGGCCTACGATGCCACAAGCCCCGCTCTGGGGATGCACAGTAAACCCTAATTTACATACAGCATTGGCAGGGTTGAGATAACCTCCTTTGCCAAAACCCAACTAATCACATCAGAGCTTATTCTGTTGGATGTGCATAGCTGAACATGAGTCAACAGACTCAGATCTTTGAGTAACACAGGTTGCTTGTAGTCTCCCTCTGAATTAGGATTAAAGTCTAACAGCAATTTAACTCTGCCTTAATCCCCAAATCCCCTTGATCCTATTCTGTTCTAATTGAACTCACTCTTCTTGCTCGAACTGACTTCACATAACATGCTTTGTGCAGCCTAACTCAGCTCCAAGAAAATCTGAACCACAGGGTGCACGAACATCTCAGAGGCATTCCTGGTTGTAATTGCTTAGGTATTGTAATTTATTTTATGAAGCCTGCAAAAGCTGGGAGAAGTGGGCTCTGCTCTAAGACATAAGGAATTGCCCAGTTGGCTGCTGGGCCAGTCAGTAAATGAATCAGCTGCCAGAATTTTAAATGGCATTCGGCTCCCTTCGTAGTTGCAAAAACAAGATGTCTCAGAGGACATTTCTCTGTAGTACCATCATACCTGGGGAGGGGGCAGAGGGAGACCGGGCAATCCCAGTGTGATAGAAGAGGGCAGGAGCAAGTGTCAGGGTGTCTGCAGGGCTGTGATAGCTGCTGTGAATTGTGCAAATCGACAGTGTGATATTGAGTTTTCTGCTGCAAGTCTGTCCACCCTGACTTTCTGTTTAGGGCTGGAACAAGCTCCAATGCTTTACTGAACTCGTTTGTGACTGGGAGCTGCTTGTGTTGGTATATTAGGGATTTCCTGTGTCACTCCCGCTTCTTCTGGTTTGATTTGATACGTGACTAGTTAAAAGTTGAACTATAGTACCCTTTGCCTCATTATAATAGTAAAAAAAAAAACACCCCTAGGAGTAAACATGAGATGCTAATGAGCCCCGCTCATGATTTATTATGGGGTACATAGTTGTATGCACGTCCGTGATGTAATACACCCGTGGATTTGTTTCAGCCAATAAGAATTGTGATGAATGTTGCCTGCTTAGTGAAATGTATAAAAACCTTTGGACAACGCCCCTTTGCACGCTCGATTTGGATTTGGGTCCCGAGTGCACCTCTTTGCTTCTGTACAGAAATAAAGCGTGAAAGCCTTCCCTCTGCTCTGTGCGTAATTTGGCTCTCTCGCACCGGGTAAAAACGTGCCCCAATTAGTTGGTCACTCGGTGGCCAGCAAAACAAACCCCAGCCTTCCGTCCAGGCAGGGTGATGTGTTAACTGGAGCCAAGAATCCAAGATCCCATAAGCAGTGCAAACAAAGGGAACGGCTCGAGTCCAAGTGTCACCCTAGCACAATACAAGGAGTCAAGGCAAGAATGCCGCTGTTTGTTGTGCAGGGGCTTATAAACCACTCTCAAGATCTACAAACAGGAAAACAGCCTGGATCAGTTCCAGTTTTATTCTCCACGCCTGCAGCCACAGGAACAACTAACCATTTCTGGAGCTATTGTGAAAAGCACCTGACTACAAAACTGCAGCTGTGCTATCTTTTGGCTTCACTGCTGCAGTGACTTTTAAATTGAGACGGAGGGAATGGGTCTTGCCGCCAGGTTGATTCCACTCATAGGAATCTCTCAGCTTTTTTCACTAGACAAACGCACACATGAAAGATTGAAAGGGGGGATGTAGTGGATTTAGAAGCTTCTAAGACGCAACGACCGCTCTCTTTTTCCAATGAGAGTCAAGGGGCTGGGATTCTGGAGAGGAGAAGGAGGTAGAAGTTTCTTCTTCCTCAATCAGATCAGCTTCATTGAAAAAAGCCAGGGCAAGTCCTTCATCTCAAGCCACAAACTGTTTCAGTTCCCTCCCTTCACACTGGTGGAGATGCTACACACTTCTGAAGAGCAGTGCCAGCCTGTGCTACGCTCTGCAACACAACGGTTGCAGAGAAGGAAACTCTCTCGGCTGCCTCCCCTGTTGCAGAGAATGGGTTTAGATAGGCCTGAGAGTCCTTTCGCTTGTTTTCCAGGTGAAGTCTCATCCACTTCACTATTCTCAGCTAATTTGACTCCATGGAAAGAAAGAAAGAAAGAAAGAAAGAAAGAAAGAAAGAAAGAAAGAAAGAAAGAAAGAAAGAAAACACATATGAGCAATAGTTCCAACATCCCACAAGTCTACTAAACCATTGACAGTATCTCCAAGAATGTGGAAAAGTCCCCAGGTTCACTCAGGAAACCATCCACCTTCATCGGGCACCTGGATTAGACCATTTTAACTAGCCCTGCAGAGCTTCACATCAACACCAAGCCGAGCTGGGAGTGTCCATCACAATGGAGTCACTTAGGGCAACCCCATCTTTGAATCATCAGCTCCACCTGATCAGAAAACCAAATCCAGTGGGTGCCCTGCCACATATGGGGGTCAGATATCAGTTGAGCCTGGTTCATGTTTGTCATGCAAGACATGAAACCTTGAGCCCCTCCCGGTTGGGTAAATTTAGCATGGATATTGAAATCTCCCTGGACAAGGAACCTAGTGAAATACAATGTCATGACTCAGGTCATCCTAGCTAGCTCAGGAAGAGACACTTAGGCAGCAGGGGGGATAGTCCAGTGTGTCTCTACCCTGTCCCAGCCACCAACTTCAGCAGTGTGCACTTAAAACTGGCAGATTGTTGTATTAGTCACTCCATCTCCCTCCTCTCCAATTTAGACTTACAAAAATAAAATGACGGATAAAGTTGGGAGAAATTAATCCTTCCCCCTTTTATCTCAACCATGTCTCTGTGATACATGCCAACTCAAGACTTTAATTTAGAATTAAGTCTTAAATAATAGGTGTTTTATCAGTAACTGATTGGGCATCCTTTCCCTACGACAGCCTGGTTGCAGTGCTGCAACAACCAATCTGCTTTTCTTTCCCTGTAAGAGCCACGTTGCAGCTTCCCACCATCTCTTCCCCTTTGAGTCCCTCAATGTTTGCTCCTAGGCCATTTTTCATGACCCACCCTCCCCTTTGCTTGATGAAGTATTCAGCCATATCAATGTCTATTGATTTGACATTGCAATAATTGCAATTTGAAGAGATGGACAGAATTTCATAATCTCTAAAGACACATCCTCTCCATTCCTCTAATTGGCCAAAGCAATATATCTTGGATAGCAGATGTTTCATTAGTAACTATGCAGCCACTTAAAAGCAGGAGATTCAGGTAGGAGTGGTCACCAGCGCTGTCACCTTGGTCAGATTGAAAGGAAAAGTCAGCTGTCTCTGTTGGTCTGCATGTGCCTGGATCTGTTCACCAAGAGATTCCATGAGATCAGAGGCTGAGTTGTGCATATGACTTTTGCATGCAAAAGCATATTTAGACTATTTCCACACCGTCCCACTCTTCCTACTGCAAAGCAGAACAGCAACCTCATGGAAATGTTGCAATGGTGATCACCATAGCAATGCCTGAGTCAGGCCACAGAAGGCTCCCTGCCTTTCACGGAAAGGTCAAGAGTTCTAGGTAGGCAGAGATACCAAGAGAATTATGGAAATGTACTATACAATGAAACCTATTATTGGTACTTTCTGTTACATGGAGAGAGAGCAGCCAAAAGCATTTAAAATACTGTAATGACATGGAGAGCCAGTTTGGTAGAGTGGTTAAGGCATCAGGCTAGAATCCAGGAGATGGTGAATTTTATTCCCATCTAAGCACAAAGC